CTTCAGACTTTTGGTCACTAATTATTCTGTACTAAAAGTCGGCATAGGTGGCACTTAGGCGCCACTACTTTTGTCTAGGTGGTCTAACGATTAGGCAATGTCTAGACGGATTAGGCGATTCAGAAGCTACTCACGCCATCTTTACAGTGTCTAGGCACCTGTATATTTTTTTTATTTTCAACTTTCGTAATCTATTTTATAAAAAAATAAAAATAATTTTAATTTTTACGCACGAAATTTATATTAATTATATAATAAAAATATTAAAAATTATTTCACAATTAATACAATACTTATGAATGCATTAGATTTTAAATAATCTTTGCATTCGACCATATTAATTAATATATTTGATATATGCATGATGAAAAAAATATAAATAAATTTATTAATATTTTATAAAAACCATCTAGTCCCTGCCTAGACACCCTAGGTGTTAGGCCCCAATCCACCGGCTAGCGAACTACTTTGAGAACATTGTCAATTTTCATCTCCTCTATTTGCTTCAACATTAGGGAGGTTGATCTTCAGACGTAGGTAAATTTTCTATAATTTGACATTCTTGTATCTTGACATTATATTTGCCTAACAGGATAATAACTTTGGCAATAGGATAGGCCTTTTGAAAAAGTTGCTTGAAAGTTGAAAGTCATAGTTATGGCCTAATTAGTAATTACACTCCTTCACCATATTGGAACAATAAACGTACATTATTGAAAGTTGAAACAACCAGCCCTTACTACGCTCACACGCAAAAATAAAAATAAAATAAAAAAATCCTGCTAAGGTCACGCGAAAATAAAAAAAAATAAAGAAAACTTCTGCAAATATACAATCTTCAAGACTGAACAATAAAAGAAAAATACAATTTAAAGACCAATAACAAAAAAAACCACAAACCAATCATCCATAGACATATATGTACAATAAAAAAAAAATCGTAAATCTATATATATATAATTGTAGGCTATCCAATTAATGCGGATAGCCTACTTTTCCCACCCATTTTTTAAGTTATTTTTGGTATGTTTCACATATCATTTTATTTGTACTAGTATTCGACCTGTGCATTTGCACAGATATAAATAAATTATTGTGAGTCTGTACATATAATGATTAATTATTTTTCTTTCACTTTTTTGCAGACCAAATTTACAATTAAAAGAGTTGGATTTTTTTTTTAAAAAATTGCGTTTATCTGATTGGATGTAATGTATATTTTGGTACGTCTTTTATTTGTGAATTATTTATTATTTATTTAGGAATTTCAAATATATTTTTTATTTTAAAAAAACAAATTAAATGTAACAACAATAATAACATCTAATCACATTATACGGTCAACATATTATATGGTCAACTGTCATTAATCAAAAGTTTAAAATGATTTTTGTAATTTTAAAGTGATGAATATTAATTATTTGATGATTAAATGAAAGGTTAAATACATCAAAATGTAACGGTTTTTAGAGGGAAAATTGTTAAATTGCCACATAGGTAAAATTAAATAAGTTTTATTAAATTCTATTAGCTAGTAATTATATATATATAGATTGTTGTAGTTAATATTCTATTATTTAGTAAAAGTTGTAACGGTCATGTCTTAAAAATTAATATAATTGCACTCTTTGTTAGTTTGTTAAGTAAAACTATATTTTTTATGTACTCATTACAATATTGTAACACATTCTTTCATTTGATTTTACATTTACTTAACATTTGAATTTTATCTTTCCAATGTAACTATATATATTCTTTCATCTGATATTATACAAATATAGTATGTATATCATTTGTCTGATAATTCTCTGAAGAAAGATAAATTTATATGGTATATAAGATTTACGTTGTCCAGTTTAAATTTATTATTTTTTATTTTGGTAATACTTTTATGTTTATTATTAATACAATATTCAAATTGTATAAATTAGGTTATTTATTATATTCATATAATAGTAGTCATTTAGTATATGGTAAATTCTGCATTATAAAAATTCGACTAAGAGTCTTTAATGTAATTTGATTATAAATGTGATACATACTATTAAGGAAAATTTTGTTTTATGATTTTTATATATAATATTTATTTATTTTTATTAACATGTGCATGTGCACAGGATTAATACTAGTTTATAAATAAAAATGAATTACTATATAGATGGAGTAATTATACACTGAATACATTCTTAAATAGATGGGGCTCGATTGCCGACTTCTTAATAGTTACACAAAAGGAAAAGAAATCAATACGCACGTTGTTTAAATGTGTTTGTGGGCTAATTGAATTTCTCAAAACCTACCTCTATTCCACAACGACAGGCCGACATACTTTTATACAACATACCTAAACTATCTACGGGGCCCACTTTCAGCCCTTCACTCTTGAGATTAGCTCTTTCAAAGAAAATAACACAAGTTCGACTTGTCACCATAATTTGCCAAGAAATTTGTCCGTGTACATTTCTTCTATACAAGACAGTATGAGAAAATATAAAATATGCATATGAAATAAAAACTATTTTGTTCAATATTTCAAAACGGATACAAGGTCCTTCTGCAACAATTCACATAAGCAACTGTCTCATTTGAATTGTGATGTGAGCATAACAAAGAAAAGGAAACTCTCTGAGTGAAACTCGAAAAAACCATCATCAGGCATCAGCCATTTCAAAAGCTTCTCAACTCAAAGTACCTCAAAACAGGTCAATCGTATATTAGTGATAATAGAAACATACGAACGATGTGATCAATCCAAATGAGACACGATAACAACATTTTTTTCAGAAAATAAAAAAATGAAATACATTAATAAAGGATTATGCATCACGTGCATGGACAAAGCAAAAGATGGTGGGAGAAAAATATGCAGTTTAGATAAGATGGTGGGCTCATCCAAACACATAGTCGAGCTAGGAAAAGTATTTTAATCACTTCATTTTCCCTACAAGATAACTCATAGCCACAAGCAATGCTGTCAGCTAGCTAGCGGTTGTCACAAAAACCAATTTAGATACTTATGAGGTGAAATGATGGCTTTACAAAAGCAAAGGAACAAATTGCATAGCAAAACGGATATGATTGAAATAATGCAACAGAAACAAAGAATAAAAGATGTAGCTTGAAATGTTCGTTTTTCTATTTGTGTGTTCCATTATTATTGAGCAAGTGTCGAATGCAAGTGGAAGCATACTTACTATAAGGTATTTTAACTAATTTATAAGTGAATAAAATTTTGTATTTTCCAGTACAATCATGAAGCAATCTCATGATACTGCTCAGAAACCGAATATGCATTCAAGAGCTAGTTCATTCGACACAGATATTCATTAGATTACCAGATATCTTATTCTTCACCTGTTACCATTTAGATTTTGATAGAGACGAGAATAGGAACTAACACGGCATACTTAGGGACCACAATGCTATGTGCTGTACTTAGGCCTGTAAACGAGACGAGCTCGAGCTCGAGCTCAGCTCATTAAATAAACGAGCCAAAAATCGAGCTCAAGCTCAGCTCGAGCCGATCTCGAGCTTTAACGAACGGAACTATAAAAAATTATATAAATATTCTCTTTGCAAGCCTTAATGAGCTGAGCCGAGCCAGACTCGTTTATTTAACAGCACTAGTTGTACTAAATCAACACCTTGTAAACCACCTATCAATTGGAACGCCTTTTCACCATAATGACTATGTCACAATATTGACTCGGTAACTCACACAAACGAGACGAATCATCAGTACCGAGTAAATTTTCAGTTGAAAATATCACCATGTTATCAACATCTAATAGCTCTTTGATGCCTTGGACAACTTCAGTAGATAAGATATTAGCAGTGACCTCATCAAGAAAATAACTATACCTACAAAACTTGCTAAGCCATATTGCCATAATGTGTAATTTCAGAAAATATAACAAACATATAATCATAAACTAACCCTGAGAGCCTTCCTTTTTAATCTGTTCATTAGTGAGAACTGCCTCAGACTTAACCTGACAACATCTCCAAAATAAACATCCAAAGCCTTCTTCGCATTTTGGACCCAAGGATGTTCTGTTAACATAAAGCGTTCATTTCAAAGAAATATTCCACTACTAAACACATGCGCAATCAACCATAAACAGGGAGTCTGTATCAAAAGATTCACTAAAACAAATAATCGGTCGACAATCCTCAAATTTGTCCAGAGCCCATGCATGTAGCCAATAGAGTATTGCATATGTTGAATTTACAATAGGTTGTTAATCAAGACTTCAGAATGCAAATTCTCTAACAATAACAAATAGTTCAAAATAATTACTCCAGATCATATAATTTCAGACCATTATCCCTCTGAATTTTCCTTTCAACTACAAACTTAAAAAAGGGGAATGAAATACCAGAAAAATAACTTATTAAAAGACAACAGAACAAAGTGACAGACACGGTGAAAAAGATGTGTGAATTATAGTGGTAAGGGATTGTGAGAATTCTCAGAAGGGATATTCAACTAGGCTTAAATGTAACATACCAAGAACTTCTTTTATGTCAATCAAAGCTTAAAATCTGGCTTCAGCATCTGTTTTACTAGGCTCTTGGCACTCTGATATATTTGGCCATGGTTTCGCATTCAAAAGCTATTTTCCCTCATATGATGGCCTGAGCAACACCTTGCTCAGATTCTGTGTAGAAAAATCACATAAAAGGTCATGCCACTCGGAATTATATTAGAACTTAACAATAGTGTGTACACACTGACCCACACACACATACACACTTACACACAGAGAAACACAAGAACTTCAAGCACCAGCCCAGAATGGAGGAACTCCACAAAAAAGGATATGAAGAACCACCCTTTCACTACATATATCTATATTTTGACCCATAATTCTGCTTGAGAACCTCTAGGGACCACGCGGTAAGGGCTTCCCACAATTTCGGACAACTTATTCCACCTCAAATCTAAGAGTTAACGGAGTCCTAGAATCATAATTATTTTTATTTATTTCATCATGCATATTCATAAGATATATATTAACGCTAGCAGTATGATATAATAGCATTATTTTGAACTACAGGCATATTCAAATGCATCTAAGCTCAGAATAGGAATTAGATCAAATGACAAAAGGATGTATAGTAGGAAACTTGACAAAAAGATGTATAGTAGGAAACTAGAAATCTTTAGATACAACGGGTAAGCATTCAAAAACCCAATCAAGGAATCTTTACAAGAAAAGAGAGAGAAAAATGATCACAAGAAATTTGATTATAGTTTTATCAGTAAAGCTCAACATTGTTCATTAATACAATATTATTGCAACTCTATCATATGAAAACTTCAATGCGCTCAATAAGCCATGACATGGATAGTGATTAATTTACCATAACACAGACTAATTAGATAGACATTTTCCACAATACAGAAAGCACGAGAGCTTTAAATACAGAGTTTATCGAGGAAACGCCACCAAATTATAAATACACCAGTCGGCATTACTATGCACATATTGAATTGTGAGCTAATCAATACTTTCATGGAGGCGAATCAATCTATTGAACAGCAGATAAAGGAAACACGTGGGTTTATTTGAAACAAAAATGTCCTGCATAATCCTACCCTTAGTCCCACAAGATCATAGCCACACTCGACCCTAGCTTACAAAAAAACTTGCAGATGAAATTCAATACACATGAATGAATTTAGACTTAAGGAATCCTCATTTCTTAGAGAAACAGAATTTATTCATACCTGAGCACTTCTGAGATACTTCTCCTCGACGTTCTCCTTTTTCACGTCCGTCAAGGCGGGTGACAGACTCCTTAGCGTCGCCGGAATATTTTTCTCGCCGGTATCAGGCGTTTCCGGAGAGATTGCATGACTCAACGATGGGCAACGGCCGCCAGAGATCCATTCAGAACAGGGGATTTGCCATATGAGGTGTAACCGCGCGGCGCAACGCTGCCAAAATTAAAATTTATATTTTTTCTCAATTAACCTCTATTAACTAGTAGTAAGTAATTCATCCAGTGAATCAAATTGTGATATTTTTGTATTAATTAAAATTATGAAAAGCGATAAAAAGGGGTTATTTACTAAGATCCTCAAATTCAAATGAAATAAATAAATTCTAAACAATAAAAATAAAATAAAATAAATAAAGAGAAAGCTTCTAGTTCACGGTTCCGTCTATACCCTCGACCGACTTGTCTAATCAACTCTGGTATCCAATCTTGTTATCTCATGGAATTACTAGCTCTAGACAATGACACGGTCTGTTACCCGAATTTTTCCTTATTTTTAATTTAACCGCGAGACGCTCTACGATTAAACCTGATTTCTTGTACAGTGTTTTCAAGATTTAATACAATTAATCGCTTTACGAATTAGAAAAATAGGCTAGACTAAATAGTGAACTCAACCGCTTTCGTTCACTTAAATAGTCTGCGTTATCCCCGGTAATTATCGTCTTCCGGTAACCTCTAATGAACTAAACACAACAACAATTACGGATTGAAGGTCTAATTCAGCTGTAGATATGAAAAGTCTAATCTAGTGATCAATCTAAATAAGACTCAACACATCATGGTTAATTATTCAAAAATAACACAACCAATTCCAAAAAGATATTGAAATTCTCAACCATATAAATTAATCAAACATCGTCAATCGTAAGGTTCGACTTCCCCGTAACTAGAATAAAAATCTATTCTAACATACTAATAAAAATAAATAATCAAAGAGAAAAGAGAGAGAATAAAATTCTCCATCGTGTACGGGTGCGGTCTCTCTCCGCGATTGATCGGGTTCTCGTATCTGTCCGCGTCTCTTCCTTGCGCCTGTTCTCTCTGTTTTGCGTGAAGAATTCTTTTCTGATCCCCTCCTTCCTCACTTAATGTTGGTACGTGACTTTCTCTTATTTGAAAAATAATTCCAACGGCCCCCAGCATGTGATGGCTCTCCAAAATAAATCACTCTCAAATTAATTCCAAGTGCCCAAATTATTTGCCAATTAATCTCTTCCAATCAATTTGTTAATCCCATCAAAACAAATCCCTCATGTCCCCGACGACATAAAAAACTCTTGGGCCAATAAGTCATGGGCTTATATTGGGCTATGAGTGGGACGCTCGATTTGGTCTTATGGGCCCAATAATTGATCGTATCAACTAACGTCAATTGCTTCACGTCCAAAAAAATACTCCAAGATCCTAAAAATAAACAATAAAAATATCAAAGCACCAGAATCCATCTAATAAATAAATAAGTCGAAAAATATATACGTGCGAATAAATTAAGTGTATAAAACTACACGATTAAATATATAAAACGCGCACATTCTTCGACCTATCAAGGTGGAAATTGAAACCCTAACCCTAAGCACGCTAGAAATCTAGGCTCTTGCGTGGCTGTGCCGTCATAATGAGTGAGCTAAGCCCCAGCCGGAGTACGATCGAGCTCAGGGACCATTAACGTGCGTGGATTTTCTGCACACAAGTGAGCTGAGCTCGTGTATTTTGCTTTGAATAAAGAAATAGTGTGTCTCCAAAATGCTCGTTACAAATATTTTACCGCTTTTTTTTTTTAATTGCCATGTGTGAGGCCCAATAGAGCCCGGTCGAGCCCAATGGATGTATTTATACCAATCTTTTTGGGCCCAATACTATAATTGTCCTAATCATTAAAATAAGTTAGCTCGAGTTACTCATACTCGAGTTCGGGCTTTTATTATTGAGCTAGTTGAGGCTCTAGTATTAACTGAAACTTGACTCGTTAGTATTAATAAATTAGTCGAGTTTGAACATTTGAATTATAAAAATTTATATTTCAGAGTGTTAACTAACCTCGCAAGCGGTTCGTTTCGTTTAAAAGTTCAGTGATGATTTAGCAGTCACACTTTAAATAAAGTATATAAAAAATATAATAATATATCTTAGTATATGTATGTAAATTAAAATATAATTATTTATTTGTTGGGCTGTAAAACAAGACTATGTCAAGATTAGTGAAAACTCGTGTTAAATGTCAGTTATCAAAGTTAAGTCAAACCTGATCCTTTGTACTTGGAAACATTTAACAATACACCACATGATAGTCAAATTAATGTAATTAATTGAGCTAATAGAAATTTTGCAGTACATGTCTACGTAACTAGAGTTGTAATTTTGAAATACAAAATATCTCATTCAATAAAGGGTACAAGTTTTATATTTCAAATGACCCTAGCTCAAATGATTTTATTGTGTACTATATATTATATTATTTCATAATCAATTGGATGTGGGATTGGTTCATAATCAACATGCACTCAAGTAATTACAAAACGTGTCGCTGGTGAGCTCGATTTAGCTCAATTCATTTGATTGAAAATTTAAATTAAAGTTTATCTAGAACTCTTTTAAGTTAACAAGTTCATATTTTTAAGATTTGAAAATATGATTTTTTTTTTTATAAAAGATATAAATCGATTCGTTAAATCTCGAGATTAGCTCGAGCTCAAGCTCCTGCTCAGCTCCACTCAAACAAACTACCCCAATCCCAAACCTTGTGCCCCAATTTTATTATTTAAAAACGTTGGCACCCTAAGCACGTATGAATATTTAATTGAGTTTGTTAAATTGAAGCGTGACAACCAAAAGTATTCAACTTTGATTTGATTTTGTGGATTCTTTTGATTCAGTTAACATAAATCGAATGAGCCAAACGTACTAATCGATTATTGGAGTTAATTTTGGTGGTACTACATTAATTTTTTATAGCCCTGCTAATTTATTTATTTTTGTATTATATACAGCTAACTAGCCCTTTCGTAATACAAGATCCTAGTCCGATGTTTGTATTTACATGAGTGTTTGGAAAAAAAAAATATAATAAAAGGTAAACATATAAAAGTATTTATATTCTTATTGTAAAAATCATATAAATAATTGTATGATAATGATAACTAAAAGAGTAATGACTATTTAAAATTACATGCGTCTTGTACCCTTAAATTGTAAAAAATGATAATTATTTAATTATATATATTTATAGAATTATATATATCTAACACAAGTATTATTTACAACTCTTCTGATTTGATTTTGATTTCTTATAAAAAAATTAATTTGAATCAGTATGAGTTGTATGCTTGTTTATATACATATTTTTAAATATCAATTAAAGTATTAAAATAATAACACGATAAATAATATTTTATTTATCATGCTTATTATATATTCTAGTTAATAGTGCGATCATTATTAATACAATAAATATTTACCAACCTAGCATTCTATGGCTTTATGAATTATAATTAAATTAATTTGTTATTACTATCAAATTTAAAATTTTTTATATTCTTTTATTTTCAATATCATAAGAATGTTCATTTTTTAATTCCTTTGTATACCTTTACTTTAGTGAAAACATAAAATTTAGAATTTTATTCATATTATTCAATGTCATACTTAATCTCTTCTCCTTTTTTGAAGTAAAAAACTATTGCAAATAAGAATTATTATTTTATGGTAAAATTATATAAATATTTTCTTATTTTATATAATAATATATAATTCTATTTATATTTTTAATTTAGTTTGCTAAATATATATTGATAAATCAAGTTTTATAATTGTATATGTGATATAGAAGTCGAATCGAAGATTATCAAAATAAGGTTAATGTGATAAATGATAAATCATATCTGAAAAAGTTAAATATAAATGCAAAAGTTAATAAATAAATACAAAATTTATCAAATGAGAACAAAATAATATTAGTTTTGTATGGTATGATTTGATTGCATGCATACATACCAATAAACTTGCAATAAATTATTTATGTCTAATATCGAAGTTTATTTCAAACCTATAATATGCAAATCAAATTACGATGCAATAAACCAAATTACGATGCACATAATTTTATCGTATCAGCATGAACCCGCGACTTAGACTCAACCAATTTTGAGTTAATATATAAAAGGAGGGTGAATTATCCATATTGTAGGGTGTATTCATTTTTTTTGCCTTTCTTCGAAACGAGTAGGGTGTATTCATTCATTTAAAAGTTTTTATATTTTAAGAATTTTGGTATATTTAATTTAGTATTTTTAAAACATCTTGAAGTTTTGTGTTATTCACTTAAACTTGTAAAATGTTCTGCAAAATCGTGGGATAATATATTCATTTGCTATTGAATTTAATTGGATTTTCTCAAATTTATTGAATTTGCATCGTGTGTGTATATATATATATATATATATATATATATATATATAGAGAGAGAGAGAGAGAGAGAGAGAGAGGAAAAGGTTCTTATGAGAAGACCATTTTAATGTGAGAAATAAGAAGATATTCTGGTCCTTCATTATTGTCAAATGGATGGTTGAGATAACAAACTCCTATCATTAAGATAAGTAGGAAACTGCCGCAAAGGATGATTAAGTCAGTACTATTTTTCGTCAGTTAATGAAGTGCTTAGTGGACTAATTAAATAAATTAAAAAAATAAATAAATAATGTTATCTCCTTTCAAGCAGACGTTGAACATGGTCTGAGACTCTCCCGCCCCTTCGACAGCAATTCCTGCACTTGACGTTGGATCTCCTCATTTCAAAGGATAAGCGAGAAGTCGACCCCGTAGCAAGCTATATCGAACGGATAGAGGCCCACATAATGCATAGCCCTAGGCCAGAGACGGATTTACATTAGGCCTGGGTTGGGCTGAAGCCCAGGCCTGTTACTTGCTTTAACCATTACTTAGTTTAACTTTTTCCTTTTTTGTTTAATCCCTAGCCCAGTCCAATTAAAATAGTCAAGCCCAATTGCCCAAATGACTTTATCCCGTTCATTCAGCCTAACGTAAGTACATAACCAAGTGCATCAAAAATCGTGCCCCCCACAGAAAAAAAAAAAAGAAAGAAAAAT